ATATGTATGTAAATATATATATATAATATTATAGTTATATATATATATAATATGCATATATAATACATATATATATATATATATATATATTATATAATATATATATTATATATATATATATATATGTTATACTAAATATCAGCCTGCATCCCTTACGGACAGTGAGGCTCCCTCAAATGTTAGTTTATTTATGCCTGGGAGGAGAAGCAGCGAAATCCCGCCCACCTACTGGCCTAGTCCTCTTCATATCCGTTAAAATATTATATAACTGTTTCTAGGTAAAGCGCACTTGGAGTGATAAAAAAGGAAAGAAATTACCAGAAGAAAATAAATGAGAGCAAAGAACGCAGAAAGAAGATCGTAGAATTTGTCGAGAAGAAGGTCATTCTATTAGCATCGGCTGCAAATGGCCACTAAATCCAGCCCGTGTCCGAATGGCTGGCGTTGCAGAAAGCCGTGTCCGAAAGCGTTTGAAGGTTGGAGGAAACACGCAGATACAGAGGGCCATTTATTTCTACAAAAATAACATGAAACAAAAGAAATGTTTATGACTAGGCTGGGTAGTTTTATACATGAGTAATAATGAGGTATAAAGTCCAAAGTGTGTGATAGAGGTAAGGGTACCGAAATGTACAAATTAACATTATGGTTATATGGTCAGCAAAATTATATTTTTTTCTTCCTTGTTTTCACACACCTTCAAGGTAGTGTTAGAATGCAAGAAATCATTAGGAAGAGAGAGAGAGAGAAGAGAGAGAGAGAGAGAGAGAGAGAGAGAGAGAGAGAGAGAGAGAGAGAGAGAGAGGAGAGGAGAGGAGAGGAGAGGAGAGAGAGAGGACAACGAGAGAGAGGTAAAAGAGAATGAGAATGTTTTTATCATACAACAACTTCCGACATCATTCAGAAAATGTACATTTCTGTCATTACAGAGCTAAACAGCGACAAATTTCTGCTGAATGTGATAATGAGAAAAATTTACCTAACAGTAAACTATACATTATTGTGCATATATATAGATATATTTCCAAATCTGCATCTGATAATGGATTGATAAAGACCAAGATTTTCAGATCATAGATTATAGGAAATAATTATACGGCGAATTATCCGTAATGACGACCTCACTGACATTCGTTGGACGAATCAAAGGATTATCAAATTATCAGAATGCAGAATAAATCTTACTACATTACATTTGACAGCTTGCTTTCCGTTAGCTAGCTGTTCATTAAAAATATAAAAAGTAAAATAACACGCCCTAGGCACATCAGCTACACAATAAGAGAGAGAGAAAAAAATCCTTTGAAACAGTGCTGGATCCTAAAGAAACGCGTTGGATCCTTGAGAAACACAGTCGGATCCTTTTTAGTTACAATACGCCATTTCCTAAAAGACTGACCATGTCCGCATACTTATAATGTGTATAGTAGATTTTTTGTTAAAAAAAAGAAGAAAAAAGCTTAAATTTTTATAAAATATATCTGCGATAATGTATTTATGATGATTTTGTGTAGTTTTTGGCCTAAAGGCTAATAATTCTAAACGTACAATAATTAAAATTTTACATTTCTATTAAATTCAATTAAATATCTCTTGTAAACAATGATTTTTTAATAATTTCTACCAATCCAAATACGCTGAAAAATTTCTCATGTGGATGTTCACCGAAAACTCACAAATACATGTAATGATAATGGGAAAACAGACAATAGCAATGGTCTTCTAAATTATATTCCCAAACAGAAACGTGTTTTAAGAATTTTTAGTGACGACAAACCTTTCTAGCCAGTGTTCGAAAGAGTGTCTGAGGCAGCAAAATGACTCTTTTGTCCTTGACACTTCAAAGGCCTCGCCAGAGCGTGCTGACGCGCAACACAGGATAACATACTCTTGGGTTAAGGAGTTTTGTGATAATAAAACTAAATCTATAGAAAATAATATATATATATCATCAAATATAATCGTCACACAACCATTAGTTGTTGCTTTATTAACCTGAAAGTAAACAATCTGATTGTTTTACTCTTATATACATACGCTTATTGTAGCACTACTACACAGTACAGCTGCCTAAGCCAAGGCCACAATACGAACCCGCTCGTCTGAGGAAACGGACGAGCGAAACATTTGAAAATATTCACTCTTCATCGAGAACATCATAACACCTATATATACACGTCAATATAAAATCACAAACAGACCTTTCTCTTTGAACTGACTAACATACATTTATAGGTAGAAGTAGTTCAAAGCTGATGATACCTTAAGGCAAAGCAAAGGCAAAAGTTTTCCCGGGAGAGGAGAGCATTCGAACACCACCGTTCCTGGTTGATATGATACTGAAGGAAATGTCTTTATTACCAAGGATAGTGTCGATTTTTTCCTCTGTTACCAGCGAGACACATTTTCAGATTTTTCTTTTAAGGAAGTGGTTTTATGTTCATGTATTGTACATGCAGCGTGTGCGTGTCCTTTGTGTGTGTGTGTGTGTGGATGTTTT